TGGCAGGAGCCCTGGCGTATAGAAAGGAAGCGGTTGAGAGCAACCCGTCCATGTGGTAGGTTTGAGGGGTAAGGCACTCTGTGTATAGCTGTCAACTTACAGATTTGAAAATAAGGGACCCACACCCTTGAAAATAAGGGATCAGCAGCCAAAATAAGGGATTTTCAGAGCACAGGTATGTTCAACTCCTGAGCCCCTCCGAGCCAAAGGCAGAAAGCCCAGCCAGCAGCCAAACAAAGCCTCAAGCGGTGGTTCCCACAGTGCAGCAACCCAGCAAAGGGGATGTAGCAAGGAAAACCACCGTCACCTCTCCGCTGGGAAGCGCTGAGGCAACGCGGCCAATTTGATCGGCACAAGGCGTGCAAGCTTCACCCCTCAGTCATACTTAGACTCCTTATTCAGTGAGTAATGCAGCCAAGCAACACAGTTGGAGCCTCCCTCCTCCCTGGCCGGCAGGGAGGGAGGGAGAGGTGCTGCTTCCTTTGAAACCCGGGAAATTTAAGGGACATCATCAATAAGGGACAGCAGCAGGACACAGCGCTGGGATAAGGGACTTTCCCGCCAAATAAGGGACGGTTGACAACTATGACTCTGTGGCACAGGGAGGTCAAAAGCGCAGTGGGAGCTCAACTGAGGGAGCTGTGATGGGGTTGGCTCCCTCACAGGGAGATCAGAGCCAAAGGAGGCCACCAAACTGTTGGCAAACCTTTTGGCCGTACCTTGGCTGGAATTTGGCATGGCTGCCAAGTGCCTGATGAAATGGCTTCAGGGGCCAAATCTGCTCCACAGGCTGCCAGCTCTCTCTGTTTCTCATTTAGGTCATCATAGTTGTTCATTCCAGTTTAATAAACCCCACAGAAAACAACCCTTGAAGAGATGTAGCCTCTCAACAAAGCATGTCTCATGTTTTAGGCTCAAAGGCCTTTCTATGGAAGTCTGACTGACCAGACATTTTGCTGCCTCAGGCAGATCAGCAAGTGGTGCCATCACTCGCCCCACCTACCCTCAAGTCAACATGCAGAGTTCACCTGAACATGTGCAGAGTTGGGCCCTCTTTAGGTGTTCAGTATCCGTATTGAAGAAAGGGAGAAGGTACACCAGCCTTCCCCAGCCTGATCCATTCCAAATATTTTGGACTACAACTCCCATCAGTCCCAGCATAATATGGCTGCCCACGGTGCTGCCTTCTGCCTCAACATGCTTCCATTGACAGGGTTCCCTAGCAGGTTTTGGACTACAATTCGCATCATCCCTGACCATGGTCCCGCTAGCCAGGGATGATGGGAATTGTAGTCTAAAGACATATGGAGACCCAGGTGTGAGAAACGCTGATCTAGGAGGTTACTGTGCTGCCATGTGAGCTAGCACCCAAGCACCCATGTGGCCAACTCTCCTTTTTTAAAAAAGTTTTTTATTTATACTTTTCAAATTTATACATTTCATTCATTTTACAATCCATTTAACATTTCAAAATTTGTCTTCCTTCCCTCTCTTTCTGCTGTTCCTCACATTTATTTTGTAATATCTTCTGCATATCCAAGTTCATTTAACTTGCTCATTTATTCATCTACTGTAAATATTTACTCTTATAAAACTGCAGGTTATTACAATAATCCTGCTAATGTTTTTATCTGTTTACAATTTATCTTTAAATACTCAATAAACCATTTCCATTCTTTTATAAAAAGTTTGTTATCTTGATTTCTTATTCTTCTGGTAAGTTTCGCCATTTTTGCATATTCTGTAAGTTTTTGTATCCATTCTTCCTTTCCTGTGACTTCTGCTTCTTTCCACTTTTGGGCAAGTAACATTCTTGCTGCTGTAGTAGCATACATCAATAAATTTCTGTACAATTTAGGTAGTTCTGTCCCTATAATTCCCAAAAGAAAAGCTTCTGGGTTTTTTGTTTTTTTATAAAAGTTATTCTGAACATCCTTTTCAGTTCATTATATATCATTTCTCAGTAAGCTTTAACCTTACTACGAGACATAGCTGTCAACTTACAGATTTGAAAATAAGGGACCAGCAGCCTCGAAAATAAGGGATCAGCAGCCAAAATAAGGGATCAACAATTACTTTGATAAAATACATATTTTGTTGCGTGCAAATGGCTTTAGATACCTATTAGGTCCATAAATTACCATATAGCATATATTCAACACAAAAAAGCAACAATTTGTTGTTGACAAAGGACAGCTGGACATAGAAAGGGCCCCATTACCTTCAGTAGCTTATTTAAGGGACATCATCAATAAGGGACAGCAGCGGGACATGGTGCTGGGATAAGGGACTGTCCCGCCAAATAAGGGACACTTGACAGCTATGCTACAAGACCACCATGTGGCCAATTCTCCTTGTCTTTCCTCTCCCTCTCCCCCACCAGTGCGGTCTTCTGCAAAGACGGGAAAGTTCTCCAGGAGAATGAGATTCTCACCCTCCCCAACCTGGCCCGCACCTACGAGATCTTAGCCGAGGAGGGTCCAGATGCATTTTATACCGGGAGCTTAGCTCAGCAAATTATAGCCGACATCGCAGCAGCAGGTGAGAAATCTGGATGTGGCAGAGGGTTTATATGGGAAAGGTCCACTGCCATTTCTAAACCCCATGAAAAGCTCACTGGCAGCTTGGCAGTCCTATGGACTAGCCACCTCTCCTTTATACACACTGATTGTTTTTGCCACCCATGGCAGGGGTGTAGCCTTTAAAATCCATGCCAAGGCATCCTGGGAGCTCTGGTTCAGTCCAGATCACAGGAGCCAACTCCTTGGGTCTGAGATTCCTTTCCCCCACCCAAAAGTTGATGGGCATTGCCGTTCAAATGGCATGCGTGCCCCATGTCCAGTTGTCAATTATGTGGGGTGGGGCTTATCTGGCTGGGTCCCCCAAATATTTTATTCAATTGGGACCCCTGCCCCCATCTTCTCTTCCAGGAGGGAACATCACTCTGGACGACTTGAGAGACTACACGCCGATTCTAGATGAAAATCCTTTACAGGTCCACATAGGAGAGCTCACCATGTTTTCACCCAATGCCCCCTTTAGTGGTGCTGTGCTGGCCCTGGCGCTCAACATCATGAAAGGTAAGCTTTCTCCTTATCTTTAGGCACGAGAGGCTTAAAAATGCTTACTTGCTTGTTGTATTTATATCCCACCTTTCCTCCCCAAGGAGCTGAAGGTGGCATAAATGGTTCTCCCACCCATCTCATCTCAAATTAGTCTCCTCAACAAACCTGCGAGGTAGGCTAGTCTCAGATGCTGATGGTGATTGCTCTTGAGTAACCAGGCAGGACTCCAACCTGTCTTTTACAGGTTTTTGTTAAGCTGTGGGTGAACATATCAGGCGACAGAGCGATTCTTCAAACAGCTCTTGTTTATTCACAGGCCAGAACAGAACTGAACTGAAGGGTTCAGTCAGCCTGCTTATATAGAGCTCCAGTACAACGTAACTGTAACAATTTTCTAAAACTATCCAATCACTGAACGTTACTTTCAATCCCTTATTTGCATAACTATCTACAGTATCCCCCTGCTGGCCCAGGGTGAGAACTTCAGTACATAACAGTTTTATTGTGCAAACTATTTACAGTGCAGATCTACAAAGTTCATGTCCGTCTCTGTCACTTGCAGAATCCGGGAGTGGCCGCTTCCGGCTTCTCCCCCAACATAAGAACTTTGGCACCCCAAACCTCCTCCTCCCCTCCTTGCGTTTCACCCCTCTGCGCAAGCTGGGCGGCGGAAGTGGCGTGTGTCTCTCCTGGCCAGCCGGGCGAGGTGAGGCGCTGGGGCTCTCAGCAGCATCCTCAAGCCTTTTCCTTGCTTGGCTGGCCCCTTCCCTCTCTTCTCCACTGGAGGTATGGCTTTTCCCACCGCTGGAAGAGGAACTGCTCCTCAGGAGTTTCGGAGGCTCTCTATATTGCAACGGCCCCCCTGCCTCTCTCCCCTGTTCCGATGGCAGTCCCCTGACAGCTAGGTTTGCCCAAGGTCGCCCAGAGAACTGCACGTGGCCAAGTGAGGATATGCTGACTGGCTGCCATGCCCCCTCCCTCAAGGACTCTCTCCCCAACACCCCAACTGTTAGGTTGTGGGTGAACATATCAGACGACACAGCGATTCTTCAAACAGCTCTTGTTTATTCACAGGCCAGAACAGAACTGAACTGAAGAGCTCAGTCAGCCTGCTTATATAGAGCTCCAGTACAAC